GGATGCATGTTTGGAAAAGCAGCGTTGTATATTTGGAGCATTGGAATCCTTGCAGCTGGTCAAAGTTCTACTATGACTGTAAGTGTTTACTTCATAAAAGGCTTTATGCATATCATGGCGCACAAAGGAAAGGGGAAAGTGTCCATCGTGTTTCTTGAGCGTCAGTAGAGTAAAGAATGACAAAGGTTACCGTTAATGTGGTCAATCGTTCTTCTGATCTAAAAATAGACCATGTTCAAGGAAACTGCATTTCTTATTCGCCTCATTAGAATACAATACGATGAATATCATACAAAACCAAGGAAATTACAACAGCCAATCAGAAGGAAGAAAATATATCAAGGAGCCAATCAGTCAGCAAAGAGGAAGTGTAAACAAGTAAAACTACTGGAAGCGCGGGAAAACGCGAATTACCTTGTCGCGATTGGTGTTACTATTGAATTTGATTGGTTGTGAGGCTGGCGCCAGTTTTCTCAAACAATCATATAGCGAAGTCAAGCAAAACCAAACAATTCCCTAAATAAATTTCGAAACTCCATTCTAAATTGTCTCGATGCCTCTTGGGTTGAATTTGTTCCCGCCTTCTGCTACTGAAAGCTAATTGCATCATTTTTTGTTTATCTCCATAGGGAACCTACTCAGGCCAGTTTGCTATGGAGGTATGAAGCGATTTTAATCACTTAATCGCCTAGATTAAACTTACCATTACGTAAAAGAATTAACGAATTTGATAATCCTCTATCTTCTTGAGATAACTTATGCTTGTTCGCTTCTCATCAATTACTGATAATTCCTTGAGGACGGAAAATCTCTCGATTTGATTTATGCACTGCAGGGCTTCTTAAAGATCTCTTGGGCAAGATGGAAGCGAGTGCTGTTTACCAGATCGATCGCCATTGCCCCAACCCTTTTTGTGGCTTTTTACGAAGGAGTCCAGGACCTAACGGGAATGAATGATTTCCTTAATGTGCTACAGAGTTTGCAGGTAAGTTGTCGCTGTGATAATTTCCGGCCGCATTTGCGATATCAACAATCTGACTAAAAAGGAAATCCTCAAAAA